TTATAAACGCTTATTAAAATGATATTTTGGTAATTATCAGTGTCTGCTGTTCTACATTTATGCTTTTTAACGTCTTTATTATCTTTGTTATAATTCCTTTATGTGTTTTGATATTTACCAATACAATTCTTTTAATAATCATTTGCACATGCACATTTTACCAGCGCCAGGGTTTTCCGCTACCACCATTTCGTGACCGAAGGCTGGTGAGAAATATTTTGTTTTCAGTGTTGCATGCATTCTTAGTTATTCTTAAGAATATACAATGGCAACAAAGAAGAAGTAGGCTTTAGTAGCCAACCCAACTTGATATCTGAGGCTATTAAGTGCCCCAAATGCTGAAAAAGTGATAAAAAATTAAGTAATCCAGACAGTAGAAAGAAGCAAACAAAAGTTTGGTGTTTCCAAATATAAAGGTATTTGGTTTATTTTTTTATGCTATGGATGCAGCTCATCCTACTGTATGTACCAAGGTGAAGGAAATGTTTTCTGTAGGGTGTTGGGGGCACCTATCAACCCTCCCATTGGGCAGTGCCGAAAGAGCATGCCTAGTCACGGGAATTTACGTTGTTAGGTTAGGTTGATTTATTGGTCAGAACCTCTTGTACAATTACTACTGGGGGTTTGAATGATGTGATTTCCCTTTGATTTTACCAGAAGATGGTTTGGATTCATGTTGAGTTTTTTGAGTTTTGGCACGTTGGTCTCCAGCAGATTTCAAAGATGGTGGGCATGTCCATAGAGTTTCGTTAGTCGGTTTTAAACAGTTTTTGTCCTGATTTTACATATTTTTGTTCTATATTCTTATTTAAGCCTGTTTTACCCTGTAAGCTCCCTGATTTACTTCATGCGCTCCCCTGCTATCAGGACTATCAAATCAAGATTGGCTCTCGTCTTGATCCATTCACACAAGAAACAATAACAATGCCTAAAATCATTGAAATCATTGAATTTCCTGCAGCTAAACATCTTTTTTTTTTTCGAGGGAGGGTGCGTCGCTCTCAATAACAATTGCCATTTTCAGCTTTGTTTGATTTCTGTCGAATCAGAGAATTGTGCATGGGAATATCTGGTGATAAAAAGACAAGATATGTAATTATGAAAAAATATAAAGATACTTAACAACTTAAGCCAGTGCCAACGTGAAAATGTCGCATTCGCTTTAGTATTGTTTTGTAAAATGTTTCTGCACATAGATGGCCCTGCTAGTGCTTATCCACAAAGGTTGTCAATTAGTAAATCCGCAGACCTCACCCTTCCTTAAAATAGCTGGAAAACATTTTTTTACTAATGCCATCAATATTGACACTTATTTTAGTTATAAACATTATAATTACTATATATTACTAACAGCAGAATTAAATACTAGAAAACATTATTGAAAATCAAGGAAAAGGGTAAATCGGTAAGACAGGTAGTTCTTGTAATTGGCTTATTTGTGACTTGGTGCTTGTGGCAACAACTGTATGTAAAAACAATTACTAAATTGAAACACACAGTGGGCATGGCATGTATGCACATGCCATCCCGGTGGTAAGTGGTTAATAAAGGAGATGGGGTTGGTTGGAGGCAAGTCTTACTTACACTTACACTCATACTTACACTTACATGCACACACACACACTCAAATTCAAACTTACATTCACACTCACACTCACACTCATGCTTACACTTACACTCACACTCACACTCACACACACCCACACCCACACCCACACCCACACCCACACTCACTCGCACTCTCACTCTTGTATCCAAACTCACACTCATGCTCTCATTTCACACTTCACACTCACTTTCACTATCACTGTCACTCTTTCACTTTCACTGTCACTGTTACCGTCACTGTCATTCATTCACTCACTCATTCACTCTCACTCTCTCATTCATTCACTTACTCACTCATTCATTCACTCCTCATCACTCACCACTCACTCACTCACTCACTCACTCACTCACTCACTCACTCACTCACTCACTCACTCACTCACTCACTTACTTACTCACAAACCATTAGGGGTTGGAGTCAAATGTTATAACCACTAGACCATCATAGCATATATACATTTATTTACCAACATATGGTTTGCATAAATGTATAATTTTCTTTGGTAGTCTTTGGTTGTGTGCTTTGTTCATATATTTTATAATTTCACAACTATGTTGACCAGAGTCCCCAAGGCAGGTTGGAGATCTCGGAAAAAAAGGAATTTATCTGAAGGGTTTACGATATAAGTGCTGGAAGATGTTAGCTGTAGACTTTGTACAGTCTTCCTTTACTTAGTATGCACAATCTTGTCATAACTCTGTTTATAACAATCTTATTCTTTCCAGGTTTCAAGGAAAATGTGAAGAAACAAATCCAGCCCATAGAAACTCAGAACAAATTTCTTTTCCGTTTGTGGATAGGCATCATTGCATGTCTTGTAAGACTGGCTTGAACCATAACCATGACGCAGCAGATACACAGCTACTCTGGTCAGAGCTACGACGGTGGGTG